AAAATATTGGATTTTCTGGAGAAACATACTAACATTTTCAAAGTACAAAGACGAGTTTTCCATCACTAAAACATACTTATGAAATCACCAACTTAAATGTTGATACACTTTCAAAATTACTTGTATTCTCAGAGAATCTGTAAACAGGTACACACATAGGATTTTGAAAAGACGAAGCCTTATAAAGTCACGTCTTTTATACTTTTGTTACACTTTTGTTGTCATACAACTATGTTATGAACATATGTAAATACAATATTTAATTATAGTAATGGTTGTGTTTGATTTGATTACTATTATACAATTGTTGTGATACTATACATGACGTCCTCTGCCCCCGAACGTTTCCGCCGTTCCAGTTTGGTGGGGGTGTGAAGGATTGGTATTAGAGCATTGTTTATAGTGAACTGAGTATATCAAACCTTATGAAATATATAACTATAAACACTATGGGGCCAAAGCGCTCTGAACTAAAAGTATACTTTTAAGATATAAGTATTTTGTAAAAAATTATACGCATATACATACACACTAGAAACAGTATCACAATAAGAACTACATAAAAGTATTTAAGATGAGTTGGACACTACGGTTAAACCTAGATAGTTATGTAAGCATATATGGGATAAATATAACTTAACAACACTACAGTTAAACATGGATAGTTATGTAATCATATCTAGAATAAATATAACCGGATCAACTATATTTATTTAAGATATGACCAACATATGTTTGGGAGTGACTGTGGTGTAGCGACAAGTCTAAAAATTACCAACGCTATACTAAGAGAAACACTAGAACCAAATGTAAAGTTAAAATACTATAGGAGTATTTTATAGTGATATAGCACTATACAGATTCATTACAAGTATTACTAATCCTCACAATTGAAAATCAACGATTACTTGCTTATGTTAGTAAACCTCTATTGTAGATTATTAATGGTACACTATAAAGTCAGGTTATAATGTGTTTAGGACTAAGATATATTTTGTTTGATAATACTTGACTCGTGACCACTATAGAGCACTTATCGTCATTTCCTATTGAATCTTTTTAGAAAAAGATGCATCTGAAGAAGTCCAATAGGAAGAAAACTAACCCTTCAACAAATCCACCAACGCCGCCACCTCCTCAATATAACCGCACTGTTTTCCAAGCCGCAGTGATAGCCATCGTGGCTACAGCTATGTCACAAATCCACACAAGTGGTACCAATGAGGCGGGTAGTGGTTCCAACCCTTCCAATCAAGGAGATAGTCAAGGATACTCAAGGGAGTGCTCCTACAAAGACTTCACTAACGCCAAACCTCGATCCTTTAATGGCACTGGAGGTGTCATTACCTTGACGTGTTGGTTCGAGAAGACCGTATCAATCTTTAAGATCTATGCGTGCCCCGAGTTGAGCAAAGTAAAACTTGCATCATGCACCTTCACTGATAGAGCACTAACTTGGTGGAATAGCCAAGTCAAAGCCCTGACTCTTCCAATAGCTAATGCTATGAGTTAGTATGATTTGAAGGAACTGATGTTGGCTGAATACTGCCCAAGGGGTGAGATACAAAAACTTGAGCATGAGCTCTGGAACCTGAAGATGAAGGGCTCCAACATCGCTGCATACACTGCTAGGTTAAGTGACCTGGCTCTACTTTGTCCCGGTATGGTCACCTCGAAAAGCAACAAAGTTAAAAGATACATATGGGGATTGACACCCCCAACTCAAGGGAATGTCTTAGTTTCTAAACCACTCACGTTTCACAGTGCCAAATTTATGGCACAGATATTAATAGACCACGGTCATTGCCAAGATCCCGTGCCAGCCGCTCCTGAACCACCAAAATAAGGTACTGGAAAGAAATTTTTTTTGGAACAAAGGCAAGGGCCACTCTTCGTAGGAGCCCTCCAAGAAACAACAAACGATGGCAGTTCATGATGCTACCACTCCTTCTGTTGTACTCGCTACTCAAGTACCTCACAGTCGATATGTTGGGAACCTCCCGAAATACGACAATGTAACTTCCACCATAATGGACCCTATCAGGAGTTACATTATACCAACTGCAATAAGAAGGGGCATAAAACCCATTTCTACAAGACACTTGCACAACCTAAAGCTTAGACCTCCGGAGCTGGAGTAGGCCAAGCCTATTATGGTTGTGGCGAGACAGGGCATTACAAGAGAGATTTCCCCAAAGCAAGAAACAGTGGCAACATGGGAAGAGTGCTGACTATGGGCCAAGAGGAGGCAGTAATAGACCCCTCAGTAGTTACGGGTACGTTCCTTCTCGATAACTCTTATGCATGCATACTATTTGATAGTGGTGCAGAGAGGAGCTTTGTTAGTCACAAATTTAAGCACTTACTCAAACACAAACCACAACCACTACATGAAACAATCACTGTAGAAATGCCTAACGGGAAGAAAGAGAGTGCTAACGACATATTCATAGGTTGTACTCTCACATTCAAAGTACAAAGACGAGTTTTCCATAACTAAAACATACTTATGAACTCACCAATTTAATTTTGATACACTTTCAAAATCACTAGTATTCTCGAGGAATCAGTAGACAAGTACACACGTATGATTTTGAGAAGACGAAGCCTTATAGAGTCGCGTCTTTTATTCTTTTGTTACACTATTGTTGTCATACAACTATGTTATGAACAGATGTAAATACTATATTTTATTAATGTAATGATTGTGTTTGCTTTGATTACTATTATACAATTATTGTGATACTGTACATGACATCCTCTGCCCCTGAATGTTTCTGCCGTTCCGGTTTGGGGGGTTTGACAACCCTAAACCCTAAACATGAAGCCTCACCAATTTAATGTATATACCACAAATTGAACAATAAGAAATATATCACACATGACATGCCAATACAAACAATGAAATATATTCATTCACAATTACATTACTGATTATCCCGAAATTACAATCTAAACCAAACCATAAGAATTATTCTATTATGGCAACACAAGTTTTATATGTATAAATTTATTTTTCAAAGGCTTTAAATGATTTGATGTTTAACAAATTTCATCAATAATATTTAACAAGTAAAAGTAAAAAAAAAAAAAAAAAAAAATATATATATATATATATATATATTTGTGTTGAACGATGCCCCCAAGGTCTTCTTTTCAACAAAGAGTTTAATTCCTCGTGCTGCCTTTATTTTTACATGAAGAGGGGTCGACCAATGGCTTTTTGAGTTATGGCTTTTATGAAAATTACAAGTTTAAAATCAACAACATAAAATACAGTTAAAATAAGATGAACAAATATTTTCCAGTCTAGTTGATTAAATTTGGTGCTGGTGGAAGTCAAAGGATGGACTCCATTTCTTTAAACAACTATTACCTGGTAGGACAATATTGTATGCCTAGAGTCACAGTCGGTTAGTTGAGTCGAATTGTCGGTGAATTTAAGTCATATTACATGAATGTAGTGATCTATCAAACATTAAAAGTGTTGTTACCACGCAACTCACTGTGCATATCAACTATATTGCATAGAAATACATGCAACAAATAAATACAAAACATGAAGTTAAGTGTAAAACTTCTCCATTAAAAAATCTTAATAACCTTAACAGTTGAAAGGAAAAAGGCAAATTATATGGAATAATAACATACTTTACTATTGCTACCGATGTGTGCAACATGACCATATTTGTTAAGTAGAAGAGGAGCTTAGCTGTCATAGGGATCGGCTACTATAACTTGATGCTTTACTCCTTTTATCATAGAAATATATAGACTTCATCTTCTACCTAAAGTAACAATGTACTTATAAACTCTTACATATAATAACAATGTGATTATGTTTTTTACCTATAACAACAATATATATTACTTTTTAATCATGGTTGTTAAGATCCCGATCTTGATCTTAAGATCCCAATCTTGATCTTCAGATCCTATGAGGAAAAACGATCTTAAGATCCTACAAGAAAAAAAATCCCAATCATACTAGGATCTAAAATCAATATTGGGATATTATGATCCAAACTAAAATCTTAATATCTTAACCTAATTTGATACCAACTTTTTCATCATTATTATATAGTTAAGCCTCAGAATTTCATCCACTAAACTTAATACCACCTCTTTAATCCCACCCAAACCAACCCAAACCATTATTTTATTTCTTTCTTACCTTCCCGTTAATTCCCTGTCTAAAGATCCCAACAACCACTGCTAGTCAACTCCGACAACCATCCCCATAACCTACAACAAAAACCAAAGTCATCCCAAATCCAATTAACCTAAAATCTAACTTTAAAAACGAATATGTTAAAAATAAGGAATAGAGGCTTTAAATGAAAAAAAAAAAATTAGAAATCAATTATCGAAGTTGTTCAGAGTTTTTAGAAACTAAAAGAAAAACATATCCTTAAAAAAATAAAGTTGTTAAAAATAACGAATAGAGGCTTTAAATGTTGGTGTTGTGCATAAAATCGACCTAATCGACACTCATTTCCTTACCCCCATTGTAGTCCATATCATATCCCTCTGATAGATTACATAAAAGTCGATGATTCAAGATGATGGTCTAGTGGTGACCAACGAAAGGAGGAAGAATGAGAACGGAGGGTTTGATCTAGAGAGAGGAGGAGGATCATGAGAAGGAGGGGGGAGGTATTATGGTGGCCATGAAAGTTATCGTACGATGATAAAAGATATCTTCTCCTTCGGAACATAATTATGGTGAATCTAAAAAGATCTCTTCCCCTTCAGAATATATCATAAGGTAAAGGTTTCCTGATCTTGCCACTTGAAATATCCGATGAAGGTAGGTTTTGTGGGTTTCATGGTCTAGTTGGGGTGTACAAAAACGGTGGTGGTTGGACTTATAGGGACTGACGTTAGTAAGTGGAGTTCGTGAACGAAGACAGCAGGAAAATTTTTATGAACACCTGGATTGAGTGGTTTACTAAAGTAGACAGTGGTGATGTTGCACTTACTTACTCTGAGAGAATCGCATGGATAAAAATCCTTGGTCTCCCACCAGAACTATGTTCAGAAGAAAACTTCTCGATGATTGCGGAATCTGTTGGTAGGGTTGTGGTCCCTTGTGTGCTTGATCAATCAACCATCAATCTATCATAAGGAAATGTCGGTATCCTAACGTCCTTGATATCCACAATATCCAGTGAACCTGTGGTGGAAGTGAATGGTAGAATCATCAAACTACAAATCGTAGAAGTAGATCTAGATTGGGCTCCATTCAAACAAAGATACTACTCTACGGATGTGAGCTCTTCATCGGAGGATGGAGATGACGAAGATGATGAGGAGGATGTGGATAGATACATGTCGGATACCATTCCTTCTGAGAATATCAGTGAAGACCTGGAGGAAGGGGAGATTGGTCACACTAATACTGAATTTGTTAAAGACTCGTACATTGATAACACGCAGCTGAATGTTGGAGGTAATGTCCAGTCGCCGGAGGTGAATTCATCACCGGTGGAGGATGCGGCAGGTGAAAACGATCGAGTAAGTGGGAACGCCTTTCCTGGGGAACACCAAAAGTCCGTCAAGGATATTAATGTGCATGGGGAACAGCTGGATCACCAGACTCAATGTCGGTTAAAAATGAATGTGGGACAAGATGAAAGGCTTATTGGACCTTTGAACAATTTGAGTAGGTCCAATGGACTTGGGCTATTTACAAACAATTCGAAGTCTGGAGAAAATCAAAGATATCACACAGGGGTTAATTTCGAAGGGTCACAAGACAAAAGAAGAAGAATTTCAAACATTGTTGTTGACGGATTCAATGAAGACTCACACCCCTCCACACCTCAATCATCAATTGACCTGAATAAAACCTTAATTCCATCTCAGATTCCTCTTCCGGACTCGGATGCGGACTCCCCATCGGCCTCGTCTGATATAAGGAACACCATAGAAGTTGGGAGGTTGTTGGGCTTTGATGTTGATGTAGATAATTCGGTCCTTATGGAAGTTCTTGGTGACGAAGGTGAGAACCAAATCCCCCAATAAATTTCATGACCTTAAACATTAGGGGACTCGGTGAGAAACACAAAATGGACTGGGTTCGTAGGCTCAGGAATGATCATAACTTATGTATGATTGGAATTCATGAAACTAAATTAGGGGAGTCTTCGTTGCCGTTCAACGATGTCAGCTGTTGGGGGGACGTTGATTGCGGGTTCGATCAGGTATTCACTACGGGGAGGTCTGGAGGGATTATATCTATTTGGGATAACAGGGTATTTTCGAAGGTAGAGTCAATAAAATCTAGATTCTACATTGTGACTCTGGGAAATTTGGTGGGTATAAATGGTTTCACTGGCTTTATAAATGTTTACGGACCACAATTGGTGAGTGAGAAATCAAAAGTGTGGGAGGAACTGTTAGAAATTAAGCGTTCTAGACTAGCTACATGGATTGTTATGGGAGACTTTAATGTTGTGCGCCGTCCAGAAGAACGTATCAACCCAACTTTTTTGTCACCGTAGTGCAACTGCTTTTAATCAATTTATTTGAAATGGAGAATTCACTGATTATAAGATGGGTGGTCAAAGATTTACATATTTCAAACTTCATGGCGCAAAGTTAAGTAAGTTAGATCGTTTCATAGTCTGTAATAACTTCATGTCCATCTTTCCCCAGGCCTCATGTTTTGCATTGGATAGAGATATGTCACACCACTCTCCAGTAATTCTTAGAGCTCGGTGTGATGACTTTGGCCCCCCTCCTTTCAAGTTGCTTAATTCTTGGATGTTAAAAGACGGTTTTGACGAGATAATTATGAAAGTGTGCTCAGAATTTAGGGGCTATGGCACACCAGATATGCGCTTGTTGAACAAATTAAAACAATTAAAAATTGCAATTAGATGCTGGAAGGCAAGCACAGTAAAAATGGAGAATGCTGAAATTGAGACATTGAAAAAAAAAAGAATGGTTGAAATTGAAATGGCAGCGGAATATAGACCCTTAACGGCAATAGAAGTGGAGGAAAGAACTAATGGCTTTAAATCTAAAACAAAGATCAAAACTCGAATGGGAGATGGAAGGAGATGAAAATACTCGATTCTTTCATGGTTACGTCAACAACAGAAACAGGAAAAATCATATACACGGTATCATGGCTGGTGGGATCTGGACGACGAATCCAAAAGAAATCAAACAGGTGGCGAAAAAATTCTTTGAAGAGAAATTCACGAAAAAATGGCCAAATAGACCATTATTTCGGAACACTGGTTTTCGTAAACTTTCGGACTTGGATGCTCGTCTCCTCGAACAAGAATTTACCTTGGAAGAAATAAAAGCGGCAGTATGGTCGTGTGGTGGGGAAAAATCTCGAGGGCCGGATGGTTTCACTTTTAAGTTTTTTAAAAAATACTGGGAGTAGCTGAAAGATGATGTATTGGCGTTTGTAAAGTTCTTTGAAGGTGGTGGTAAACTATCAAGAGGATGCAACTCTTCATTTATTTCCCTCGCAGCTAAGTCTAAGGATCCGATTCACTTTTGTGATTTTAGACCAATAAGTCTGATAGGATCAATATATAAAATAATTGCTAAGTTGCTGGCTCTTAGACTCAAATTGGTCAGTAGGCACGTCACTGATGAAATTCAATCCACATACGTTGAAGGAAGGAATATTCTCGAAGGCCCAATGATTGTAAATGAACTGTGCTCCTGGGCAACAACTAGAGGAAGAAAGATGCTCCTATTTAAGGCATATTTTAACAAAGCCTTTGACTCGGTTAATTGGGCTTTCCTATATTATTTCTAATAGTGATAGTAATTATTAAATAATGCCCATTAAGTAAAATTGACAGAATTTTAGCATGCAACTCCTTCTTGAGCCGGTGGCCTCATGCGGCGCTAACCGCCCTCCCACGCGAGCACTCCGACCATTGTCCTCTGATATTATCCTCCACATTATTTGACTTTGGCCCCACGCCCTTCCGCTTTTATAATAGTTGGCCCGAATCACAAGACCTAACGGAGATTGTGACAAATGCATGCTCTGATATTGTTTTATACGGTCCTGCTGATAAGGCGTGTGCAACTAGACTAAAGGCAATCAAAATGGCGATCAGGAACTGGCGTAATGTAGAAAGAGAGAAGGAATCCAAGCTCCTCGTTTATCTTAAAAATAAGATAAATGATATTGAAATTCAAACTGAATCTAGAGCTCTTTCCGATCTGGAAAAACAAGATAGACTGCTTTGGAAGAAGAAACTCCTTGATCTAGAATTGGCCAAATGTCTAGACCTGAAACAAAAAGCTCGAATCAAATGGGCCTTGGACGAAGATGAGAACTCCAACTTCTTTCACGGAATCATCAACAAAAACATCTCAAGATCTAGAATAAACGGGCTGGAAATTGACGGTGTATGGACAATGGACCCATTTCTCATAAAAGATGAAAATTTTCGATTCTTCTCTAAAAAATTCAGTGAAAACATGCCCTCTAGGCCGAAACTGATAAGCAGTCAGTTTAAGACCCTTTCCATTGATGAGATTAAGCTACTAGAAGCACCCTTTTCCGCCTCAGAGATAAAGTTTGCCGTTTGGAGCTGTGGGGGAGATCGGGCTCCGGGCCCAGATGGCTTCACCTTCAAGTTTATAAAACAATATTGGGGTTTATTGGAAGCTAATTTCTTAAATATTTTTGATGAATTTTACTCTGCTGGAAAAATTAATAGAGGGTGTAACTCATCCTTCATTACTCTTGTTTCGAAAGTGAATGACCCTCTATCCCTTAGTGATTATCATTCAATAAATCTTATTGGATGTATCTACAAAGTGATTGCTAAAGTTCTAGCGAACTCATTAAAGAGGGTCATTGGATCCGTGATAAGTGATGTTCAATCTGCCTTCATTGCAGGTAGAAACATTTTTGATGGACCGTTGGTGATAAATGAGTTGATTGCTTGGGCAAAGAAAACTAAGAGGGAAGCCATATTATTCAAGGTAGATTTTGAAAAGGCCTTGGACTCCTTGCGTTGGTCCTTCCTTGATTCTGTTATGGCTCAAATGAGATTTACCACTACTTGGAGAGTTTGGATCATGGGTTGTCTCTCATCTGCTAGAACCTCTATCCTTGTCAACAGGGCTCCCACAAAGGAATTTGAAATCCAAAAAGGTGTCAGGCAAGGCGACCCGCTCTCTCCTTTTCTCTTCATCATCGCTATGGAGGCTCTCCACGTTGTCATGATTAAAGCTCAATCCCTAGGGATTTTTCACGGTTTAGCAACTCCCAACCAAGGCCCCATTATTTCACATCTTTTCTACACGGATGATGCAATCTTTATTGGAGACTAGTGCAATTCAAACATCAAAAACCTCTCTCGGATTCTTCGTTGCTTTCAGTTGACTTCTGGTCTCTAGGTTAACTTCTCTAAAAGTAGGGTGCTTGGCATTAGTGTCTCCACCGCTCTAGTAGCATCTATGGCGAATATCTTACATTGCCAACCGACTTCCTTTCCTTTCATATACTTGGGACTTCATGTGGGTGCTAATATGCTGTTATCAAAGAATTGGAAACCTCTTGCGGACAAATTTAAAGCAAAATTATCTGACTGGAAAGCAAAGACGCTTTCCTTTGGAGGGAGACTGACTCTTGTTAAATCTGTGCTTGGGAGCATCTCCTTCTTCTACTTTTCTGTATACAAGGCGCTGATAAAAGTCATTGAATCTCTCGAAGGCATTAGAAGGAAGTTCTTATGGGGTGGCAATTACACAACCTAGAAAATTTGTTAGGTGGAGTGGAAAAAGGTCTTAGCACCAAAATCTCTTGGAAGTCTTGGAGTAGCTAATCTACAAGCCTCAAATTTAGCTCTCCTTGCGAAGTGGTGGTGGAGATACAAACATGACCACTCCAATCTTTAGGTGAAAATTGTGAAGGCGATTCACATCTCTAATCGATGCTATAAATTCATTCCATTTAAGAACAATTTCTCAGGCCCATGAAAAAATATTGTTACAATTGACACTGATTTTTATAATCTTGATATTGATATTGCAGGCCTTCTGCATCTTGAGGTGGGGTGTGTAAACAAATCATAATTCTGGCATGTAAATAGGCCCACAACATCCCGCTCAAGATCTTATTCCCGAACTTGTTTGCATCGGAGAAATCAAAAAATTGTACTGATGCAGAGAGGCGCCCTGACCTCGACCAGACCGAAATGTGGAATTGGTGCTGGAATCGTCCATTCCAACCAGATTTAGAATCATCTGAGTTTCGTGATTGCTGCAATTTAATCAATCAATTCAAATTTTTAAATACATTTGACAACTGCAATTTAATCAATCACTTATGCGGTGTTGCTGAAGAATTGGTGGACCACCTGCTGATCTCATGTACCTTCATTGAGGGTGTTTGGAACTCTATTTCAAATTGGTGTAGTCTATCCATTTTTGCTCCTGGGTCGGTAATGGATCTTCTATCAATCCCCGACTCACTTCGGTTGACTCCAAAAAAACAAAAAAAAACTTAGACTAATCTTACTCTCTGTATGTTGGTTTCTATGGAAGACGAAGAACAATAAAGCATTCAACAACACATCATCATCCCCTTCGTTGATCTTTGAAGAAACTAAGGCGAACACTTTCATTTGGTTGAAAACACGGGCGAATGTACCTAAGCTAGATTGGAAAATCTGGTGTTTAAACCCGCTACGGGTTTTTCCTCTATAATGTAACTGTAATCCTAGCGACTTGCTAGTTTATTAATAAAATTTTACCGTCGTTCAAAAAAAAATATTAAATCATTATATAAAAAAATGTTTTAAAAAAACTATTAAAATTTTAATATTTATGTGTCATAATAAAAAAATATGACCTGAATTTAAACTAGTCTGACAATCCTACAAAAAATGAAAATAATTAAAAGAATTGGGCTACAACACATCCATACCTAAAAAAACCCGTTTTATTTTTGTTTAGAAAAATTGAACTATTAAAGTTGGACCGAACTAAATTGAAACGATATTTGTACATCTCTAATGGGTGAAACAGAACTGAACTGGACGAAATAAAGTTCTTTTAAAAGATGTTTGGTATGTATGGAACAGGAACAAAAGAGGTTATTGAGTTAAATTTAGTCCCACCCAAGAAGGTGGAACACAATGGAAGAGTAAATATTTGACCAAAATACCCACCTAAAACAAATTCTACTCCTCCTCGTTTAACATTTCTTCCATCGTTTTTTATTTTTATTACATTGTTGTTTTGCCTCTTAAATTTTCAATTGTTAATTCAAAGGGGCTTCAAATTGCAAAAATGATAGCAGTAAATAAATATCAATTTCATTTATGTTTCTTTTCTTTTTTTATTTTATTAAATTAATTTTATTAGTGATTATCGATATTATATTCTCCATCCCATTTTAATTTACTTTATAACATGATTTATGCATTCCCCCATAGCAGCCGCCAAAGCCAAAAAGAAATTCCAATCTGTGGGCTGTGTGTAATTTTTTTATTTTTAACTACTCTTTAATATGATTATTAGAACGTATTATACCCTAAAACAAAATGGGAATAGTTTATAAACTTTTCGATAAATTCAAGGATGATTTAGTATATTTACAATCTTGTTCTATTGAGTCCTAGCTTCGCCAAATGCTATATAAATAAATCATTTTAGTTTTGTCAAGTCCTGTTTTATTTTGGTGTGTTCAATTCAATCCCATTACCAAACGCTATCTAAATGTACTTAAGAGTCAAATCTCGATATTAAATTACAACCATACCCTTAAAATACAAGAAATAGTAATATTAAAAAAAAACTTATCAAAGTATTTGTATTTTAATTATCATTTTAAAGAAAACATATATATATATATATATATATATATATATATATATATATATATATATATATATATATATATATATATATATATATATATATATATAATCTTTTGAAGACACTTGATTTTAATAAATTATAACAATAGATCATCGATTATCTTTTAAACCGATTATATCATTATTAACTTTTTAACAGGACATAATTAAAATTATATGGCTGATTTTGTCAGTTGTTGAATTTTGATGTGGAAATACTTATCATTGTTTCTCATACTTCTTGACTTGGTTTAAGTTGAAGTGATCTAGCTGGAAGTAAGTTTTTCAAAGCTGGTCCGTAGCATGCTTTCGAATTGGTTTTGATAGAAGGAGAAAAAGAAAAACTAAGGGTGCGTTTAGTTGCGGAAAAATGGGCCGTTTTCCGGAAAAATTTTCCAAAAAAAATGAGAATTTTGAAAACGCCTTTAGTTCGTCTATTTTTCTAAAATTTTCACGGAAAATGAAAATTTTCCGTTTTCTAAAATTACAAAGAAGTTATAAAATTTTGGAAAACTGATAATCATTGTTTTCCATATTTTTCTAATTCCAATTTTTTTTATAAACACACATCCACTCCACCCCATCCACCTCTACCTACCCCACCCACCCACCCACACACACACCCATCCACCCGTACATACACACACCAACCCACAAACAAACACACACATACATACCCACTCACACACACACACACCCCAACCCACCCATACACACATACATACCTACCCACCCACAAACACACACACACACATACATACATACATACATACCCACATACACACCGACCCCCACACACACACAAACACACACATACATACCCACACACACACCGACCCGCACACACACACACACACCCACAAACACATACATACCCACCCACACACACACACCTACACACACACCAGCCCACACATATACACACACAAACCCACCCACAAACATACACACATACATACCCACCCACCCACACATACACACACACCCACCAACCCCCCCCCCCCCCCCCCCCCCCCCCCACACACACACACACACACCTACACCTACCCCCACAAACACACACTCGCACCCCCACCCACCCAACACCACTACGACAATCACCGACCTACCATCACCACCACCACCACTACTAACCCGTCACTAGCACCACCACCACCGCTGCCGCCACCATCACCACCACTAACACAATTGCCGCCGCCACCACCATCGCCTGTCATCACCACCACCGCCGCCGATCCGCTACCGTCACCGCCCCCACCCACACCCTACCACCGCTACCGTTTTCTAAAAATGAAAACCGATAGAAAAATACACATCTAAACACGTTTTCTAATTTTCTAAAACTGAAAATAAAAAATGAATAAGTTTAACTAAACACGTTTTCAAAATTTTTCAATGAAAAATGAAAACGGAAAAATGAAAATCAAAAAGGGAAAACAAAAAACAGAAAACGAAAATTATTTTTCCGTAACTAAACGCAACCTAA